GTATACATGGACCTACATATACATATATAGATTTTTATCTAGTCATAATTAAAGCAGCTGTATTTATTCCAATTTAAAGCATGGTACACATGCACTACGAGAAGTATAATTGGCAATTCTTATGAACAGTAAACGACCAATCATGAATAGCATAGCTTGAGAGTTCAATTGAGCTTAGATTTTATTTGATTTTTTTATTTATTTATTTAGTTTTTGTATTTCTTTTCTTTGTATTATTTTAATTATTTACTTATTTTTGGATTCTGTATATTATTTATTATTTTACATTTAATCATTTAACCGAGGTCAACTTGCTTTAATAATTAAGGCTCTAAACAAATGACGGAAGAGTATTTTTAAATAGAAAAAATAAATTCAGCTCACGTTTAAGCAAGCTACTGTATGGCATTTGATTATAATCTAATTTTGAATTGAACTTAATTGGAATAAAAAACATTTACGCAGGCTCCCTAGTTAGCCGTTGCTTCAAGTCCGTTGCTATTGAATTAGCTATCGATTGATTCGTTTCGCTTTAGCCTGGCCACAGGCAAGAGTGCCGCACATTGATCATTATGGCTTGTAGCACACTCGTCTGGACAGAGCAGCAAAAGCAACAACTACAACGTGACTTGGGTTCAGTTAAGGCTGATTGCCAGCCCGCATGATGCTTGAGCCAAGTCAGAAGCTGACGAGGCGCAGTTAGATCTGGAGCAGGAGCAGGAGCAGGAACACCAGCTAGGCGCCCACTAATGAAACATTATGGCTGTCGTAACCCGGCCACGCCGCACAAATCTACTAAAAACGTTTACGGCTTACGTGCAGCATGGTTGACTGCCTGGCTGCCTGCACCACTAAACTCGGCAGCGACATAAGTGGCACGTAGCTCTGACTGGCAGAGGCAGAGGCAGCAGCAGCAGCTGCCACAAAAGTGTCCTGGCAAATTGCTGGCTGCAACACGTCTGTGGCCGAGTAGCTGCAATTGATTTTTGCACTTGACGGTTCAACAAATATACGAATTTTTTCTGACTGCTCCAGAGAGACACACACACATACACACATTTATATATAGCTATATAGTATATATAAATATTTTTTTAATGTGTGTGTGTGTGTGTGTGTGTGTCCGCTAGTTATGAACAATTTACAATTTATATGCTTTGTCGCTTCATTGAAGCAATAAATTTAAATTTCTGCAAAATGCCATGAAACGATATGAAAACATTTGACAATGATATATGTATGTATATGCGTATGCGTGGCACTCGAGAGCCTTCGTCTGTCAAGCGGAAGCAGCTTACGCACGGTTGCATTACGACCGGAAGTCAGCCAGAGGGTGCCGGGGTAGAGCGAGATGGGGCAGAGTGTGTGAGAGAGGGGTGCAGAGGGGCACAGAGAACTCGCTCGAATGTCAACACGTTGATAACAAAATACAGCGCACACTTTGCACAAAACGTTTTGCTTAGCGCCCCACACAATGATGCAATGAAAAGTTATAAAATGTATCATACATACGAGTATATATAGTATATGTACATATCATTCATATATATATATAAAAGTTTCGCCTGCAAATGATGGCGTTTGAATGCTCTTTAATATTTTATAAGCCATTGTTGCAACTTCTGCGGTTCGCAGCTTGAATGTTATGCATTACATTTGTATAAAATTGAATTTTTAGAGCAATTTTCACAGATCAAATGTAAGTTGGCTTTTGGTATGTTTAAAGTTTATTTAAAAGAAAATTATAGAAATTTGAGCTATTAAGTTATAAAATTAGTTTACTTATAAGTAAAAGTCTCATAAGAAAAAAGCAGATTTGAATGTAATAAAAATAAAACATGCTAGAGAATTAATTCAATGAAAAATAATCACTAGAATCGGTGTTTGCATACAATAATGCTTTGGCATTAACTCAATAAGCTTTTTATTGATAACTATTATAATTTGAAAAGCACATATTTTAAACAGTTGAGAGGCTTGGAAACTAAATATTTCCAGCTAAGAATTTTATTCGCAGAGCTGTAAACTATTATGAATTGAGATATATATGCCAAAATATTTGTGGCATATTTTGCATTTATTTCAAGAATTTCATTTCAATCAACGAATTATTTATAGAAAACATTTGTTTGGCTTGGCTCATTTCTACATATATGACCAACAGGCATTTGGTCAGCGAGTCCTGGCTTTAGCAAATATGCAATGCATTTCATTTATTTTAACTCGTGTTTTGTGTTCTGCTCGCTGCCCGACAGGCTTTCAATGTGCCGTTGTGTTAAAAAATGATAATCATTTTATGAAAACAATAAAAGCGTCGAGGCGCTTGGCTGACCTGCCACAAAGCCAAAGCAAAAAGAGAAAAATAAGAAAAACAAAAAAGTTGTAAAACAATTTGGCTACGAAAAATTAATGAAATTTATGTTCTTGTTGCTTGTTGTTATATCAAACAGTTTCCATTGTTTTGCGGGGGCGCTACGTAAATGAAAAACTGTTATATTTTTTAATTTATAGCCGCGCAGGAAGGTTTATGCGATGGAAGTCAGAAAGTAAGTGCCACGCTTGCCCAACAGCGGGCGAATAAGGGCAAAACTTTTGCATTGTCATATTGTACTGTTCCGAATGGCGCACAGTGAATCCTGCCTAACGTGACTCGAAGCAAACAACAATAGTGGCAGAGACAGCGACAGAGAGTGAGAGGGATGACTATGAAAATCCCTAGACATAAAGCATCCTTTGTATAGATTATGGCACATTGGTTAACAAAGCGAACCGAGTGGAGTCGAGCACCGAATACTTTGAAATGTCATCAGCTAAACAAACTATTGTGCTCATTGCACTTAAGCGAACCGTAAAAGGTTAGCTCCATATGCACTTAATTGTATGCATTACATGAATCGATAAATTTAAGCTGTTAGCCAGGAATGAGAATACAAATTTCGGAATGAATAAAGCAAATGACATTTTTAAGCAATATATTTATTATACTTATTAAGGGGGAATATCACTATGGTTAATTTATTTTTATTTTATATGCATATGACTATGAATAACTTCTGTCTCCTTTCTCCAATAATGCCGTAAACCGGACTTTAAACTACCTTAGTAGCCTTAGGCACTCCTTAATCACTAACCTTGACTAATCATAATTGTTATGCATACTTTTCTTGCCCACATTTTCCTTCTTCATAATCTCTCTCTCTCTCGCTCTCTCTTTCCCTATATTTTATTCTCTCTTTCCATTGTTTTTCACACTCTCTGCACATTTTATTTTGCATAAAATGCTGCTTAGGCGGCAGTGCAAAAGAAACTTTTCATAACTTAAATTGCAAATGCAATGCTATTAACGCTACACAACTGCACACACACACACACACACACAACTGCACACTCGCACACACATAGCAACTTGATCAACTAATTTGCATATAATAAAAGAGCGCCAGCTATAATAATCCGCTTTTACCCGCCTCCCCAGACGTGCCGCATTGCATGCAACACTTTTGCATACCGAATGCGTTTACTTTTTAAGGTTAACAGCATGCTGCCCACAACAACAACAACAACAACAACGAAAAACAGTCCTAAACACGCCGAACAAGAGCGTGTGACAAAATTGTAATTAGAAAACAACATTGTCAATTTTTTTGGGGCTGTTCTTTGTTTATGTTAATTTGAGACGCTACACAGCAAAAAATAAGTGTATAATTATAAAAACTATTTAGTTAGCATTTCATTAAGTTAATCATCCTCTAGTAGATATAGGAAGAGGAAAGCGAACATCAGAAGAGCTGAAGATGTTGCATTAAAAACCATTGCCTACTTTTTGGGGCTGTTTTTTATTTATGCAAATCTATGAGTTCCTTCTGCTTTTGTTTTTATTTGACAAAGTATTTGCTGATTAAAGTGTCTTGCTACCTGTTGGCTAGGTTATTTGAAATAGAAGTTAATATGTATCGTCCTTGGGCTGAGGAATTAATCCGATCTATATAAAATAGTTAACAAAGCAGATTCTTTGCCTTTTAGTTTGTTTGGATATAGAATATAGAATATATAGAATATATAATATAGAATATAGAATATAGAATATAGAATATAGAATATAGAATATAGAATATAGAATAT